TAAAAGAAATAATATATGAGAGTTGTTAAAAGTAAATGAAATTTTTAAAATGTGATTTTTAAGTTGAATAATATAACGTTACGTGATTTTGATATTTATTAGCTGCAGATAGAAAGAAACGCAAAGTTGTTGTTAATACAATGCTAGTGATGATTTTAAAACGAATCTCGAATAATAATATATTTATTCTTTAATAGAGATTATTAATTTAAATATTAATGGTTTTCACTAGTCAATTTATGCAATGCGAAAAAAAGAAAAAAAGAAAATGAAAAATACGATTGGAGTTTTAAAACGAATTTTTAATTTATGTCTTTATTTCGTTGTTATTGTTATGTTAATATTTTTTTCGCATTCATATTTCATGATAATTAATTTCTCGATAAATAATTAAATTTTACGTAACCTGAGTTTTATCATGGACATGAGTGAAAAAATGTAAACAATTAAATCGAAAATTGATATAATATTTCGAACAATGTATATCGTGTTCCTCGAATTCGAATTAACAAATCGACTTTAGCCAGGGATTATGCAAATATGTACGATACATCCAATGATTTCGTGAATATTTTTGTTTTTCCTATTTTTAATTTCATCCTCTTTTTTTTCAATTCCAAAATTCATGAATCATATTAACCTTCGATCGATGTTTACCAAAATGAGGTGAGAAATTAATAGACCGAATCATTTTCCAATTTCGACTGAATATTTTATGTCACATATTCACTAGCTTTTCATAATTCAATATGCAATCAATTCCTTTTTTTTTTGTTTCATCAATAAATTATTGAATTGATAAAATTATGATTTTGAAAATCGATATGTTAATCAATAAAATTGTTTAAAAATTATATCATATGATTATAGATTATTATAAATTTGATTAATGGAACAAAGATATTTTTCGCTCTCACAGTGAATGAAACAGAGAGTAGACACGATTTCACGCAGTCGAGGAAAATTTCTTTCGAAAATCACGGTGGGATAAGCAGAAAAATTTTGTTCATATGCGTGAAGAGCATGCAAATAATTTTCGAAGCGAAACTTTGAACACAAAGAAGTTTAAAAAGTTTTCCAAGTGGATCTTTTCGTATCCTTGAACGAAGGTAAAAAGTATTCGTCGAATAAACCTGTTCTTTCGGTTATTTCCAATATTATCGATTATCACTGGAATGAAATAGAGAAAATCTGGAACGAAATAGAACGAATAAATATTTTTCGAATTATTTAATAATTATTAACGAATAATAATAATTATTCGTTAAATTCTTATGTACATTTTGATCGAAAAATAAATATTTAAAATTATATCGACAAATTTTTTCATAAATTCATGGAAAACTCCAGCTATTACAGAATTAAATTATTACAATATTATATTTTCTTAGTTTCTTTTCTTAGAAAATTTTGGGAAATTTTGCGAGATCTTGAAATTTAAAATCTTTATTTTTCTCTCTTTTTATTTACAAGGAGTATCTATTTCATTGAGAATGAAAATCAATAAACAAGTTTTGATCGAATTTGAAAAAAAAATTTAATTTCTAAATTTCGAAAATTTCGAATTATAAATACAACAAAAAAGTTTTAAGACTCTCCGAATTTCGAGATTCAATGATAAAGAAAGAATTCAAAATTTTTTGAATTTTCAAAGAAATTTCCATTTGTCACTTTTTAATCTCGAGAGAGAGACTCGTTCAAAAAAAAAAAAAAAAAAAA